ATTTTATCATCTATATTAATCGATGTTAGTTCATTTTTTGACTTTCTCATAATAGATTTGCATATATTCCAATAAGACTTTGATGCAGCCCTTTACTGCTTCAATTTTAGATGAGTAATAATTCATTTTTTCCCCTCTTTTCAAATTAGAACATTCTCTAGAGAGTTCTTTATATCTATTAAACAAATGTATGTCATAGTGCTTTTTCAATCGAGAGTGAAGTCTGTTTTTTTCATTTATCTTTTTAATTAGTGTGTCCGATATCCATGGAGTTCGATGCCTATTTTTACTGTTAATAGGCCTTAAAAAACTTGATTGCTCAATACATTTATTATAAATATCGTAAAAAACTGTTAGAGATTTATCAACATCCTCACAATCAAACACTGGCATCCAGCTCACTTCAGCCAACCTTCTTTTTAAAATTGAATGATCTACAGCCTTGACAAACTCCTCTTTCAAAGCACTATCACAACTTGTTACGCAATTTACATTAACTCCAGCATGATCAGTAAAGTCATAGTTTTCTAAAGGTACTATGAAAAATTAAATTAGTCTTACTTCTGATGAATACATGGTCTAAACACTTTACCCAATTTTCTCTCCCCCAAGTTGGCTCATTTATAAACGACTCAAAACCAAATGAGTTCATTATACTTAAATAATCAATGACACTGTTATTTTGTTCTAAAATGCATAAATTTATATCTCCTAACATAATAGCTGTGTTTTTACAATTACTCAAAATACGTTGCAAATCATTGCGGAAAAAATGAAAATCATATTTATAGTTTCTATACAAAGCTATTAAGTCAATTTCAAAAGGTTTATCATTTATGGTAAAAACTAATGTCAGTTTAATTAATTCAACTTCACGTGACTGAAAGCGTTCATAATTTAAAGTTAAATGATTAGAAATATAAATTACCACTCCACCAGTCTATGTGTATAAGTTGAGACACGTTTGTAGAAAACACTAAAAAGGCAATCTTCTAAACAATTTTAAAATATTTACAACTTTAATTATATAGAAATGTTCATAACACAGTAAGTAATTCCATTAGTTGCATAAGCTTTTACGTGAGTCTTTTTAATTAATTGAAAATTAAGTCTGTAATAACTCTTAAAATAGCTCCTGTAATACCGGTACTTGATAATTGCTTGATTTCTAGCAACGAGTACACAAGTTAAAAATTCAACAATGCATTAACATAACAAGCTCTCTTTCACGCTGCAAGACTAGTAAACGGCAGAAGTAAGGCAGAACGGCAGAACTGCGGTATTGGTTTACCATACACGCCTGCAACGATGCGCTGCAAACCGCGTGACGAGTAGCTAAATGAACCGTAGAGTAAGTGAGCCTTCTAATATTTGTAGAGGGTTCACTTACTCTACAGATCATTGTGCCAATGAACTGTAGAGTAAGTGAGCCGTCTTCTATTTGTGTAATAGTTATCATGAAATAGGCTCGTATAGTATACGAGCCTACTCCTGTAATTTATTTAAATTCAGTATTTTGGCTCGTATACTATACGAGCTTATTCCTGAATTATTCAAGAATTCATACGCTTGGCTCATAGGCACTATGATTTGTAGAGTAAGTGAACCCTCTTAATTTATTTGATATTTTTGATCGGCTCGTATAGTATACGAGCCTGTAGTGCAAGTGAACCTTCAATATTATTTACGAAGCTCGTATAGACTATGATTTGTAGAGTAAGTGAGCCATGTGTTTTAAGAATTACATATTTGAAGGCTCATTGTGTCAATGATTCGTAGAGTAAGTGAACCCTAACCTATGTTATTGATAGCTTGGTATGAAGTAAACCAATTTGCCCAATCTGTTTCTCTAAGGTGTAGTTATTTCATAGGCTGTATCGTATATTTCAAATTAGTAAATCCTGTGTTGAATTGTAATACAAATGTAGAAGAAACTTATGATATAAAGAAGAAGTGCTCAAATGTAATCATAGGTTGATATAGACCTTAATTGTCTTTGTTTGTAAAATACAACATGTTGCAAATCCAAGCTCTAACGGACAATCGAGTCGGGCGGAGCACGAAATGAGTTTTGAGATAAAAATATGCCTATTCGGGAAAGTGAGCTATCAGCATGCCAAATTTCAACCTAATCCGACCAGTGAGTGATTGAACCCCAATAAGAAAAACAAACACACAAACTTTCACAATGTATTATGTTGTTAGTATGGTAACACTTTCTTAATGTATTTTTGTCTATGTTTTGATAACTAGCTGTTGTACCCGTGCTTTTTAACGGCAATAGCACGGGAAATAAATACCTTTTGATCTATAAATGCATTTTATTAAATGTTAACACATCAGCCAATGTTTTGGCCTTTTGATTCGTCGGAAAAGAACATACCATATTGCTGATGGATGTCAGGTGCTCAATAATTACTCTTTGTTGAACAGACATTGGTCTTATAAATATCACCATAGATATCACGCATTTTAAGTTTTTAGTACCGGGGGACTGAGCCTTGCTAGGTTGTGGTTTAAAGTACGTACAATCGTTAAAACCATTTGATAAAAAAATATTTTAAATATGATTTTCGAGAAATGATTTCATTACAATCCAAGACATTTGATTGATAAAAAAATAACGACTCTGTAATACAAGCAATGTAGGCCTATAAGGTATGTAATAAGCAATCAGAATAATCATGTGTTGATGTGTTATTTTACTTAATTTTTACATTTATTTATTTATGACAAAAATACTGTTATTTATGTAGGTAGGTGCGTGATTAATTTCTTGGCACTTAACGAAATGTTTCTTTAAGTTCAAGTAAGGCCCCTATTAGCCTTGAGCAACATGTGGCGCAGCTAGTGGAGCCGCCAGTGTCGGACGTGTAGAGGGCATGGAGTCAAAGTGTGCCTATTAGCCGCGGGGAGACCGGTGGCGCCGCCGAAAAAGCTGCTCGAGGTGTTGCCGGGAGTGAAACTAACACTTGAATACTATAAACAAAATTGAACAAAACACGACATCGACAGTGTACCGGACAGAACTAGACACGAAAACACAGCTTCAAAATTTACAATGTGATGGGAAGTATACTTGGTGTTGGTTAGTCAATGCCACAACCGAGCAAGGCTCGGTCCCCCAGTACTATTGTATGAAGAGGCCTTCACACTGATTCTTGTTTTCGAGTCGAACAGATAGACAGGCAGACAGTGGTCGCCTTTGTTTTCAACTAGATATAGAAAATAGTGTGGCAGAGCACAGCAAGAGTGACGTGTCCGCCACCCATCCTCCAACACCCCCCCCCCCCCCCAACCAATCGACGACTCCGCAACCCTCATCACGTGGCCTTAATAAAACCGGGATGTTTTATTCACTCCACGGTCGTTCAGTCCACCAGCTAATTTTTACAAATTAACGCAAGTTGTATAATTTTTAGCTCATGGTAACAGCGCTATGATGTTTTCTGTCTACGACTATTTCGTTTCGTTAAAAAAAACCGGCTTGGATACGATAAATAGCCGAAAACGCACGATAATTTTTTGCCGGCATGGACTACGCCGGTTGTACAATGATGATACGAACAACAAAACGTTGACTTTGGCAACTTTCGTCCTAAAAATATGGGTTACTGTCCAGCGTATTGTTTCAATATTGACAGTCAAAATAGGTATTCTTCAATTATTATTTGCAAATGCTGTCTATGTAGGCTATGTTATGCAAATATTTTTATAAATTTTCATTTGAATATATTAGACTATTTTTAGTATTTAATTTTTTTCTTTCTTTTAGAATTTGGAATCGGTATCTAGAAACGTAATATTTCAGAACCTGTATAGAGAATTCTGTTATCGGCCAATTCCTATTTTAATGTTAATGTAATTCGGCTAGGACGTAATTCAAGCCATGACCCTGAGTTTTGGCTTTGTTCTATGTAATAAGTGCTATAGTCAATCGAATAAGTGCTAACATGGAATAACCATTGAAAGGCCTCTAAAATTGCTGGTTTTTTTACTGTAGTTTGGTTGTTTGCCATCTCCATTAGATATACTTTCTTCCCTCAAAGTATTCTGCACTGCGATGCATAGCTAAATAGGTGTTTCCTCTGTAAGATACTGAGAATTAAGTATTTTTTGTCATTAGCCAGGTTCCAAGGTACATTAGAATTATATTTCACCATTTATATTTCACCTTTTTCTAATTTACTTTTTGATCTTCGTTGGAAAACCTGAGCTGGCAAAATTATTAGAACACAACTGTGTTGACTTTTTTTATAGTACCGTATTGAAATTACTTATTGTGTACTTTGTGTTCTTTCGATGATTTGAAAAGAAAACATGTATTTATGTTTAACCGTTGTTAATGTTGTTTTGTTTTTACACCAGTATTCGTGTTCATCGATGCATTTAATTAAACATCATATTGAAGCTATATTGTAGCTTATATCATCGACTACATCATAGACAAGTTACGTCATTAGCTTACTAGCGTGTTTAATTTTGTTTAATTCCATCCACAGGTTATAAGTTTCCTTTTCAAATTAATGTTATTTCAACAAAACATCTGTTGAAAGATATAAGATTTAAAATTCATTTTGTATATGCATATTAATCGGATGAAAAAATAGGTAGTCGTGTCGTGGTGTTACTGTTGGTTATTGAAGTTGGAACCAGTGAATTGAATTTTGTTGAAACAGGGTATTTTTTTTTTAATACACAACTATCTAAAAAACATAATAGGCCTAATGTAAAAAATCTAACAAATGTTGACATTCATTTCAGGGGGGATATGGAGCAAATAATACAAATTGTTTTGACAAACAACCACATTGTTTGTTGAAATAGTGTTTAATGTATACACAACTAGTAAGTATATAAAATTAAAAAATATTTACAGGAAATCCACATATAATGTTTTAAGATGGTGGTTTATGCAATTACTATTTCAGTTTTACATTTTGCGACGATGTATTTTCAGTAAAACGCAAAAACAAAGCATAATTATAATTTAACGCTATCACTGAAACACTCTGCGGTAGTTGGTGACAGTCGTGCGACATATTGGGCATCTTATAGCCCGCCTGTCACCATCTACAACTGTTACAGTGGTGCGATGTATCGCAACACATCGCCCACACAAGGCGAAGTGGTCGCATGGCTCGACCATGTAGGTCCTGGTGTTGACTGCACATGCGATGCACGGCCTCTCGTTTTCTGCCGCCTCAACGTCGTTCAAATCTAGCTGGATACCGCCCAACATTTGTAATTGGCGGTCGATGGCATGATCCTGCAACAATCGAAACTCAAGTAGTGCATCCATCATAGAACTTAATTTAAAGAGGGAAATTGTGTCTACTGCGAGAGGTGATTGTAATAGTCTAATTAACCTGGTATAGGTCGGCCGCTTAGAAAACGACCTCCTCCAGCATTGGTTTAGCATTAGCGCACAGGTCGTTTTCTAAGCGGCCGAACTATAGTCAAACATTTTAATTTATTTCAATCGTAGATATTTCGTATGTTGTAAATTAATAAAACAAGTAAAAAATAAGTAAATGATTTATTGCTTGGTACTCTACTAAATTGTTATTGAAGTAAAAGAAAATATTTTGCACAAGCATACTCTTTAAAACAAATACTTTCATACTATTGTTTAGATGAAGACAGATAACATAAATTGTTTACGAAAAAGATCATTGTAATGGAATTAAATGTAATACTAATTCAATTGAATACAGCAGCTGTTCGAATTATGCAAACTATAATTGTAACTTTCATACAAGACAATTGTAACATATACCCTTAAATAAGAGGAAAACGTTGAGTTTACACCAGTTCACTATAACGTAGCCAACACAAAACACTCATCAACACTTGATCTATTGTACCCTATATAGAGTAATCATCAGTGTAAACTTTGTACAGTATGTAGTTACTAGTGATTTTTGTCCGTTAGGCTAAAATTAATATTTTAAATGAGTTTTTAGAGGAATACTTATTTCAGAAATTTCCGTTATATTTTGCCTGATGCCTATCACTTTTAGGGCTTACAGTTCCCAATGTCAAAATTTAGTCAACATCCTTCCGCTTGATTTAGAGATATATTTTAGACTTACAAACAAAAATAGAACAGCTGTCCAAAATGTTAATGATGCTGTAGCCACTATTTTGGTTGTGAATAGCAATACTAGCTGTCTGCATCCAATAATATGGATGTTAGAAAACTGCTAAAAACATCGTAGTGTCGTTTAATACATTTCATTTATTTGTTATTCTTATTCAAAGTTTATGAGCCACATGTTTTACAAGTTAGTTTGTTTGACTTACCAGTCCAATTTCTAGCTCCATCACTTCCACGTCGTTTTCCGGTTCCTGGAGCTGCGGCTAACCCTGCCGGTGCCGGAGCTGCAGCCAACCCTGCCGGTGCCGGAGCTGCGGCTAACCCTGCCGGTGCCGGAGCTGCGGCTAACCCTGCCGGTGCCGGAGCTGCACCTTGTTGTGCCGGTATGGGCGCTAAAGAAGTTATTGAACTGCATTATTTTATTACTATTGATGAACCGGTGTTTTTAACAGGGACTGCTTATGTCTAATGATTTCAAGGTTAGTTTATAAATTGTCAATTTCCAAAGAATCCTAGGGTTATCAACTGTTACCTTGTTCAAGAGCTTTGTACTAAAATAGGATGTAATATTATATTTTTAATTTATTCATTTCCTAAAATTGTTAAAAATTGGAATACAGTTGTGCTGGTAACAAATTACACTAAGATATTAACTATTGTTAATGGTACTACAGTCAGGGTACCATTTCGTTTACCTTTCACATTAGCATTGACCTATATAGCAACACGTACATTTCATGCTGAACATGGTACAAAATACCTTGTTTTTATGTTACACACATAACCTGTAGACCAAAATTAATATAGTTTTAAATAGATCCTGTACACACCAATTACATTCTCTCTCCCCCCACTCTCCCTCTCTCTTTCTCTCTCTCTCCCCCTCTCTCTCCTGGCCTGAGCACTGGCCTCCACATGGTCGTATTGGCCTTAGTTACGCCACTGGTAATAAGGTCATTTATATTTACATGACAAATGCGACACGTTATAAACAATTTTCGAAACAGAATTTTTTTATAGATGTTAAAATTATAATATGAATTCCATCTTCGTTCTGGATTAAACTGACATTATAATGATCACATGAGTATATGAAATCATTACCTCCGACTCCCCTGCGAGGTCTTCCCACAAACTCTTCCTCTGCCTCTCCTCACTCCCCTGGCATGACCTCGTCCTTCACCTCTCCCTCGACCACGCATTTGAGGTATAGGTTCCTCTGGTGGAATACCAGGATCGTCTGGGTTATCTAGTTCTTCTACACGTGGAATAGAAACATATAAACATAATTTGATTGAAATTCAAAAATATTTACCTATTATATGTATGCCTGAAATTTTCTACACTGATTCACTGATTCAAGGTCTTCTTTCTAGTAGTCAAAACTCAAGAAACATTTTATACTCAAAGAATTTCTGGTTCCGATTTGGACGATGTCTAGTTATTTAATTTCCGTAATTTTATTTATAAAGTAGTGAGGCTATATTTAAATCACTAAAGACACTCTCGCCAATCCAGTGAATACATTAAAATGACTTCGATCTTGATAGGTACTCTGGTTTTCGCGGAGAAGATTGCGTAAAATGCCATCTTGAGTGTTACAGACAAAAGGAAAGACAGACAGACAGACAGAAATCTTGGAGAGAGGTGGAGGTGGGGATTAAAGGGGAGCCTCTGCTTCCAGTTGAAGGATGTATCAGAGGGTGTATAGTGTATACATTATATGTGAGAGAAACGGACACGGACATCGGTTCCCGCGAAGAATGTGATTTTATGTCACATGCCACACTGTGTACAAGTAAAAACTATCGCTACGCTCCTATCGGAAATTCCGAGAAGAAGTTTTAAACTTTCCATTAGGGTTCCAAGGTCTCGCTAAAAATCACTTAACATTGATATTAAAATTATTCTCTGGCAACGAACACGTTTTCGGTTGTATTTGGTTCCGAGGTCCCTCACCTGGACCTCGAAACAAGCGGGGACCTCGGACCCACGGTGGAAAATCACATCGATCGCCTCGGAACCGGCCTTAAGGCTTGGTTTCTTTGAATCACGCAGCGTCACAGCGGGATGCGGGATGCGCGATGGCGTAATCACGCAAAAGTCTGTTGCAGCTATTGCTACGGGGGTGTTTTCTCTGACTTCACGTGCGCAATCCTCTGTGATTCCCGCCAATTTAGTATTGCGTGATCCCCTAGACCTTCAGGGAATTAGACCTTTAGCAACTCTCATTGTATAATAATTTATTTACAAAATGTTCATTGTGTGCCCAAGGTCTAATCCCGCAAGGTCTAAAACAGTATCAGTGGATGAGTTTTTTTTGCATTGACTGTACTCTTAGACCTTCCGGGACTTAGACCTTCGACATACTACCAGATTTGACCCTCAGCAACAAGTACAAACTGCAAAATGTGTGTCGAAGGTCTAATTGGACCTTCCGGGACTTAGACCTTCAGCAACACTCCCATTCTGTTAATATTCGTCCAATCTCAAGAAATCAGGTGACAATATATTTGTAATATAATTACGTAAAAACACTTATAATTATAATATGATTGTAAAATTGGCGTGTTTTACGTAATTTTAGAAAAAAAATTTTAAATGGCCACCATTTTGTTTTGTGATTTTGAAAATTTTTCATAATTATTTTGTAACTTTGTCTAGTGCTCTCTAGTCTAGCAATAAAAGTAGAAATAACTACCTTGTACTCTCCCACGGCCTCCTCCGCGTCCACGCCCGCGGCCTCCTCTCCTGACCGGAGCCTGAACAATGATGTGCAAGTCGTCTTCGTCTTCTGTATATGAAAAAATGAAATAGACAATTACATATAAGTTAACTCTATACCGAATGTATAACATTTAATATGTATATCTCAAATTGGCCAACTAAGATGAATCTATTCCAATAATCCACAGGGCTTGGTCACTGGTCAGTCTTAACAGCCTTTGAGAGAAATGTTTTCTTAAGATTATTGTTGCTTGTGTCTGTAAATCAACCTTACATAGCTCTAAAAAAATTGAAATTATAAAATATTTTTATTTGCATTCAAAACATAGGATGAAAGTTAATAATAGTTCTTTTTGGCATGTACGCATATTACCAGTAACACTATTAGGGAATAAAAAAATTTGGTGCCTAGGCCATGACGCACGGGGTTCTAATGTAATTACCATTGTCGGTTGGCATCTCATGCATGTTCTCGATCTGCCGCATCCCTGGTGGCAGTGCGACAGGAAGTGGCGGTAACCCCTCATTTGGTGGTGCAGCTACCTCCTCTTCTGCATCCTCAACAGTCAAATTGTTGTTCCTCGGAGTGGGTACAACATTGCTCACTCTCCGGAGGAATTCACCTGCATTATATCGTCTGGCAAGTAACAACGATGTAGCATCCTGAATCCTGCGGTTGTTGGACAAATAAGATGGAGCTGGCACAGCGTCATTTGCAACTCCATTCTCATAAGTTGCGTATTGTTGGACATATGCGTGTTCAATGTTTCTTAGTTCTTCTGAAAATTTTCAAATCCGTTCTTAAAACATTGCACAAACCTAAGATATGATTTGTTATTGGCTGCTGTAGACGTAGTTACTTTAATTAATAATATACACATAGAAAGTACAAGTATGTTGGTAATTATTCAACAAAACTAGTAACCAATTACAGATTGTATATTTACTGATATTTACTGAATGTTAAACATTACAAGTTTTAAACTACATTTGTGTAGTAGTATGTGTTATCAATACTGTCTTAAACTGTAATTAGAGATTATCTGTCGATATAATAAAACACATACAAAACTATTAGTGAAATAGGAACTCTATTATCCTCAAACATGCTAGAATTTCTTACCAAGAAATCTCCACACGTTCTGGTGAACATGGCTGAACCTTTGCAGCAATTGGTTGTGGAAGCTTTCTTGGTCGTTATTGGTCCTCCGTGGTTGACCAAACACAGAGAGGTGTTGTCCACCAACACCTAAACAAATTACACTATTAATAGAGTCCAATAACGTAGGTAGATACCCTACCATTAAAAAAGTCGGCAAGAATTATTCTACAACTGTTGTTTAATGAAATTTATTCACCAAATGGTGATATGTTTTGGCATAGTGAAGCCAAATAATGAAAATTTGTTGTGGTATTATCAGCTAAGACTGGTGAAAGTGTGTCGTGTTATTGGAATGCATAGATTTCATTTACACACAGGTATTTAGAATGTAAATTGTTAAAGCTTAACACAATTTTTTTCATTTATTTTATAATTTTTGAGAAATGTTAACCCCACAAAAATTGTTGAACATTTTTTTTGTAGTGTTTTATATGTCACATTGAAGCCCATAATTTTCCAAACAAAATTATATATAAACCAGTATACTTTAAATTTTTTTTTTAGTTTCTAAGATACATTTTAATAAACCCTGCGATTACGCAATAAATGGGCGAACATTACGACTAAAACTATGGACACTTGGAGGGTTAAAGAAACAAATTGGTATACATAGATTTGCTAGTCATCTATATATATAATACGCTAAGCCGATTTTTGTAAACAGAACTCCTCCCTCATTTTTGGACCGATTTTGATGATTAAAGTGTCAAAAGAATGGCCCTGATCTGTAGTTTTGCTAAGTCTTTTTAATTTTTTGAAATCTTTATTAGTTTGGGCAGGATCTTCCATCAAAGTTGGATTTTCTCCTATAAGATTAACATGGAGGAATCTAAATATTTAATTGGAAACTTTGTCTCCATTAATTTGAGAGAACGACTGGGCGTAGAAACTTGGTAGAGGTGTCCAAAGAAAGATCTTGGTCTCTAGATGAGTTACCAAAAGAAAAACGAAGTGAATCCCGTTAGGGCACTGCCCCAGAAGCCCTTAAAGATCCCTCCACAGATTTGTTTATATTTTCATCATGTGGATAAATGCTATTGAATTAAACAGCTGTTAATTATTAAATTGTATTTTAAACAACACACGTTTATTGGGAGTTATTGAATTGTCCAAAAGAAGTATTTGCAATGTTATTTACTGATTTTAAAATAGATTTTCTTCTGTATCATGCCATGTTTTGCAATATAACGTTATTATGAAATCAGTTGACAATCATTTTATAGTAACTCTTTTAATTAATTATTTTGTATTGAACTATATGTTATATCTATTGTACGGGTTGGTGTCTGCCTTTATTACCACTTTTGCCTATATTTTATCATATTATTCTAGACAGATCATCATAGGTTCATTTGATTATTGTCAGATGTTTTCAATCATTGGAAAAGTCTTTGATTGTGTAATACAATACAAAATAATACAAATGCAGAAGGGCACGTTGGCCATATGAGCCGTGTCCATATTTTGTTAAATTAATATTAGTGTACAGCAACTTAATAAAACATTTTACAATATTTATGTAGAAATATGTGCATGATTTAAAAAGTCATTAAACTGGAAAACTGCAATTTACTGCAGACTTTTCAGAGAGGTTACTTCGATGTATTCATTCCGCTTAGTAAACACATAATAAGGGTATTAATACAAATAAGAACTTCTACTATTAGAGAGCCTTTGAATGTTAATAGACTAACGAAGAGGGTAGCATGTTAAGTATCGCTACTCAGCTACAATCAGCTAAAAAATATAATTTATCTCTAAAAAATATATTCTTAAGTGGACTGAGCAGCAGCCTAAAAATACTATGTATCTTACTTATACAGTTACAAAATGCCCAAACTCGCATTTATAATTCGGCTTATATTTCCCCAGCAGATTAATTATCTGTAGAAGAAGTTCATTGAGCTCTTATTGTGTCTAATAACATCCAAACACAGAAACCTTTCCTAGAATGGTACCGGTACCTATCTTTGAAAAATTATTCGCAGTGGTCTATATTACGGACCGTGGCCCACTAGGTTGGTAACATTATTGAAAACAACATGACATTTTGGCTGTAAAAATGGTACAAAGAGTAAATACTATTTAATGAGCTACTGTCGTAAAAGAAAGGTCATATTCCTTTTAAACTAGATCACATCATCCTTTATACGATACGTTGATTAACAATGCATTTAAACATAAATATTTACGTAACAGCCAATTTACAGTAATCTTTTCTTTTTGGAAATGCCACTTTGCTATGTCATTTGCATTATTTTTTGTCAATGAAGCCACACACCCATATAAACGAAGAGGCCCCTAACCGTCGATTTCGACGGGTTTCTCCTAGTCTTAATTATAAGTACAAAATGCAAAATATATTTAAGTTAGTACTATACCCACCAGATGTATAAAGTATACTGCTTGTGATCTTAATAATTATTTTACTGTTATTGAGTATTCAACGTCACCTTGAATCCACGTTCGGCGCACGTACGCCATGTACTGGTTGAGGATCGGTTCCAATCCGTTGGCCTGTACATACGTGACAATGTACCGGAAACCTTCTTCAATCTGGGTTTCCGGTAACAATGCCAATGCCATTGTCATTTTCACAGCACGTTTAACGGCAGGATTGATGTTTAAGGCTCTTGTCAAGCCTAAAGACCGAGCCTTCCTCCACATTGCCTGAATAAAACCATTGTAACCATATAGTTTTTGTGTATGGCCATGCACTTGGGAATAACCAGGTTTCTTATGTACTGGATTGAAAATATGTAGTACGACCAAAATTGATTGTAGATCCGAACCGAGTCTTAAATTGCAGGTTAAGCAAGGAATTATACAATATACGAGTACATAAATGAAAACTGATTACCAAAATAAAATTCAATATCAGCACACAATTTCCTTGACTATTTAACATGACATTTATAACTGTTTATATTATTGCTTCATTTGTATTGATATACATTTCGTAATAAGTACATTTATATCCCAACGTACCCTCCACTATTCTTATTTTGCACTTCCACGTGTTACATAGGCCTACTGTTATGTCAATTATGTACAATTATCTTACATATTTATACTGGTTAGTGCTTACTGTTGACGAGTGGAAAAATCAGCCGAGGATATGGGCGTCGGCGAACCTTTCCCTCAAGGCCGTCTGCAATGCAGTTTCAAAGTCAGAAACGATAACTTGAGGGTGTAGTTCCGGCGCCAATTCAACCAGCTTCTGTAACACTTGGTCGTACGCACCTTTGGTTTTTTGCTCCATCAGCACAAAAAACACGGGATATGCCTGTTAAATGAAATACATATATGTTCATAATGTAAGTGATGTAATTTTGCAGCAAACATGCTTATTAAAGTATTTTCAACTCTGCGTTCGACTTTTTACGGTAGGACTAATATTTACATACATTTAACCAGGGCCAGGGATAGTAGCTAGTAAGGGCTAGACCACTCTTTTGATGTTTGGCAGAAGCCGCCGCGCCAGGTAGTGGGGGGGTCGGCGGCCGCGTGACGTCACGTGGTTGCCTCGCCCAGCACTTCTGCAATGAACCCCTTGTTTGTTTGTATTCAATGCGCTAAGTATGTAGTTCAGTTTTAATGTTAGCTGTGTAGAAGTGTTCTGAAGTCAAATAATATGTGACTGACTGATAGTTTGTTTATGATATTCATCTGTTTCCTATGGAATTAAGTTATTGTTTGTAAAATCCCGGAGAATGTGGCACTGGCACAGAGATGAATCGCGATGGAATACCCGATGTGATCAATTGCAAAGACTGTAAAACTAAAACAGAAATAAATTAAAAACTACAAAACTGAAGTAGTAATCTTAAAATCACAACAACTGAAACTAGCTGGACGAAAAAAAAAGTTTTAGCTAGCATAAAACGTAAGAATATCTTGCAGCTCTAAAAAGGTAAAGAGCACGATTGAAGTTGTAGGTGTTTACAAAGTATGTGTTTTGAACAAAAACTGTAAAAAACAAGTAGCTATAACAAAGTAGGCTACTAAAGTTCTAAGTGGGCTGAGAAAAATATGACTCCTATGCAAATTCAAAACAAATAATTAATGATAAATCATTTTTAATTAGATAGTAAATTATAATTTTATAGTGGTATTAATGAGTATCTTATAAAAGATCCGATATATCATAATATCACAATAAATTACTATCCATTCATATAGAACATTTGTGTGTGTCATTTTCATAATGCATTCATTCTAAAGTAAACATAAAATACAAGAAAATACTTCCTTTGATTTTGTTTACAACAAAACAGTTCAGTATGTTTTTTTTATATTTATGTTATCCAGCTACACTTTATTGATTTTCAAAATACACTCTCAATCTTTTATTTTATTCATATTTGCAGATAGAGCCGTCTTGAAATACGTGAGCTTGACTAATACAAAAGTTTACTTTATTGAGATTATTTCATTCTTTTTAGAGCGTTTGAAGTCGGTTATATTTTTTTTACAAAAATAAATTATTTTACGATTTTTAGTGACTGTATAATTTGTTATATATTAATTACTTGAGGTTTTTCGATAAGCAAATTTGTTTGAAACTATCAAAAGTGTCACAGAACAATCATTAGTTTTAAAACTGCTTGAGTTTGTAAGGTACCAAATTTTAAGGGGGGTAAAAACGTACTACGAATAAATGAACATCAGAACTTACCCGATTTTTAACCACAATAGCCTACTCCTAGGCCTATGTGTTGGCCATAGCTTGGGCTATGGGCCAAAGAACGTAGGCCTATTTTTATTCACAGTGAAGTACACAAACACATCCACAACTACATATTGATTCATAATAGCACTTCGTTTCACATAATAAAGTTAAACCGGCCGATTTTACAGATATTTAACGCCGCCGACGACATAACCCCTAACTGGTGTTAATTTGTTGACATACGACAGACGAAACTAGACCACTGACCACTAGACCAGCTCAACAAGTGAATTTGCGATCAGCTGTTGTCTAGTAGTACTTGAGTTCGCCGCTTTAGCGCGTAAGCCTCGAGCGGGCAGAAACGAAGGATTTTACTCCAGGGGCTCATCTATATAAATAAAATTAGAGTTTTGTCTGTACATTGCTCAGAATCGTAAATTTTTAGGTTTTTTTACGTTTTATACATTAAAGAAGCCGAAACAAGTCTCATCTAAATTTCTGTCTGTCTGTCTTTCTGTCTTTCTGCAACACTCAAGATGGCATTTTACGCAATCTTCTCCAGGAAAACGAGAGTACCTATCAAGACCCAAGTCATTTTAATGTATTCACTGGATTGGCGAGAGTGTCTTTAGCCATTAAAATATGGCCTCACTACTTTGTAATTAAAATTACGGACGTTCAAAAATGCAGTTTTGTGCGATTTTTGTCAAGTTTTCGTCCAGTTTTTATCACATAATCATCTATGAAATAACGAACAGCTGTTCGGATCAAGATTATTTTTTCTAGCTGTCACTGAAATGTTTACAAATGTTGTTTACAAACACCGCAACCATTTCCGATCACGTTCTGAAGGCAAATCCCATCCAAGTGAGATTAAAAACGTTTTTCTTACATAAAGGATTTAATTAATCGCAAGTGGAATAATATAGTGTAATCGTAAATTAAATAACTAGGCATCATCCAGGTCAGGAACCAGACATTCTTTGTGTATAAAATTGTTCTGGAGTTTTGATAACCAGAAAGAAGACATTGAATCAGTGTTGTATACGGCTGGGAAACTTAAATTTACTAATGATCGTCACCAATAGCTTAGAAACAAGGTTCCACTCATTGACGACTCTTCAATGGCGGTTGTGTAAAGTGTGAAGTAAAAAATCACAACTGCAGAGAGAGGGTGATTGTAACAGAGGTTTACGGATGATGCTAAGCTCGATTTTCCAATGTGTCACTTTCTGTTCCTACCATTGACTATTTTTATATAGTTAATAGTTCCTACTCACCGTGTGATGCAATCGCTGGACCATACAGCCAATAGGCCCATAGCCCATCTCTTGGGTACGTACTCTTACAGAATTATTTTTATAACAACCTTTTCGACAACGATCCTTGATACCGGTACTTTTCCATAGAATACACGGCCTACCTAGGTACTTAAGAAATAAAATTACAAACGTCCAAAAACCCAACGTTGTTTGATTTTTATCACATTTCCTTATAATGTTAATAGATATACCAGCAATCATTGTTTATAGAATACGTAATCTATTAAATAACAGAAAGTTATGTTGTATAAGGTTGTTTTTTTTTCAAACTGACACCGATAAGTTTACATTAAGAGTTGTGTACAAATAAAGCAATTAATGGGAAATATCTTTGATTGCCGATAACTTTTTACGAGAAAATCCAAAACCAAGAGATAAATAACCTTGATTAACGCATATAATTGGTCGGATGTACTACAGTTCTTAACTGTAATTGTTGTTTTTGGTACGGTACTGGTTCTTTTCCTTTTAACCATTGTTAGCAGCAAGAATCATTTTTACGTACCAACACATCACAGTAATTTACAAATTAGTTAGTGGTGTTGCACCTTATTTATTACAGGCGTAGGCCTATTCAATTTATTTATGTCTTAACTGTATATTTTTTGCTTTTTCTGTCTGGATTCCAAAATGTTAGTTTATGCTAAGCGATAACGCATTTTAGTAAAACATTTATTCAGCAAACCATCATGAATTGTTCAAACGCTTTGAACGTTGTTTATGTATTAATAGTTCGTGGTCTATTTTGGTAATTTTTACTATAAATCACCAATCTAAATCGTCTATAGTAGGCCTACTGTACTTCATTTCGTATAGCAAACCGATTCAGATAGCATTTCGACAGAATTTAGGGTCATCTCCGGTCCAAGCAATAGCAAATATAAATTGTTATGATAAAATTTTATGACATTAACAAAGATTTCAAATACTAATTTTATATGTACTTTTTTTATGCTTAAAGCGTAGAAAATTCCCTAATTAAGTTCTGTATTTTTGTGTGTATGTCTGTTGGTAACGCATTAATGTCCTTTATTTCTCAGTATTTCACGGAAAGGACAAGAGCACCTTGAAAATGAAAATGTCAACCCGAATAAAGTGTTAAATTATGAGTTTGAGGTAGTACCTTAAATACCTTTAACCATTATGTTATAGTCCTTTAAATTCTGAACAAAATTGTACAAATCCCATTTCCGTATATTTACTCTCACCACTTAGGCTACACATGATAAAGGTTGTTGACAAACTTATGGGAGAAAGTATGTGTCAAGAATGCTGATACAGTTTTTTTAGTTTAATCATTGCATTTAACATATGGACCAAAAAGATCCGTGTGACATTTAATTGCGAAGCATTAGTTTTGGCTTGAAACTGTCAGATACTGTATTTGCGAAGGAATAGTTTTGTCAGCATATCTGAAAATATGCAAACCAACTGCTGTGCTTTAGTATATAAGAAGGTTTTAACTGACTATGATGAGATCCCCGTGCGTAGAACGGGCACACAGCTAGTTTCATAATAAAGTACAAACTAATATTACTAGGTGAAACCCGTCGAAATCGACGGTTATTTTCAAGGATTACGCTAATTCATCTAACTGCGATAAATTGAGTGAAATTGTACATATTTTGAGCATTTAGCATTGTTTAAAGATTAATAAGTGT